CGCCAGGCTAACCGTGCATCCAAGCTTGGCTCCATGAAGATTTTGCCGAACAAGCTGTGTTAAATCAGCCCGGCTAGACCCGACTTTTCAGAGCTGCTGCCCTTAACAGTTTGAGACCTCATTCACTTCCACTGACATTAGGAACTGAAGCCTTGAGCTGCTTTTGTGAAACGAACCGTTGTTGTGGCATGAAAGTCAATCTGTATTTGGTCAGAGCTCTAGTTTATCACAAGGAAAACAAACATTCAACTTCCAGTCTTGCTGGACGCTGCCCCTGCATCAAATGTTGGTTTCCTGGCTGCTAACAAACATCAGCACATTGTGGAATAAGCAGCAAGAGGACTGCGAGAACTCCCTGGGCTTACAGTTCTGGGTCTATGCTTCGTAGTTATACAGCAAGGCCTGAACGTAGAGACGCCTGCCCACAGGCACAGGGAGAAGACAGTGCTTGGATGGGATTCAGTCGCATGAAAATCCACCTGATGATTACCTATGTGCAAGAAGTGTTAGCAGAACCGTTACCGCATTTACTAATGACCAGAATTATTTGTGACTAGATGACTTGATAGTCCCTTCTGACCTTTCAGATCTCGGTATAAACAAGGGTTTATTCTCCCACAGTCTAGGGAATGAATCCAGCTGGACAGGCGGGACTTAAGAGAACAGATCCTCCAGCAATATAAATAGAGCTGTGCTGGTTTATACCAACAACTGATGAGTTTCTCTAGATGGCTGACATAACTTTCATGTGCACAAATGGAGAAATATCTGTGTACATTCTCCAGCCTCTGGCAAGATTCTCTTACAGCTTCCTGATCTTCCTTTTTCCCTAAGAACATTTCATCATATATCAGCAAAGTCACACAATTATGCCACCTCTGCATGACAGAATAATGCAGAAGGTGCTGTCCTAAACAGGAGAAGATTCACGACTAACACTGTTTTTAACATACACGTGCTGAAAGCCATAAGTAATTGGTGACAGCTGTGGGTGGACAGCTGTACTCTTAATTTTTCCTGGAGGAGTTTGTAATAAACACTTATGGATGGGCTCAAGACAGTGTTTGGACCAAGATCTGGATCAGGTCCCACATTCACCAAGTTCAGATTCCAGACTGTGAACACACCCTGCTCCAAGATTCAAACCCAAAACCTGCGTTCAAGGCTTTTGATTTGACCCACTACATGTTGAGGGGCTTGACCGTGACGTCTGACTCACAACCTAAGCTTTCCCAAGCCCTAGGGATGCTGAGATCCGCTGTTTTCATTTGGCTAATCAGATACAGAGCAGCTCAGCTGTAGAGAAGAACTTCAGATCCAAACTTCACCGAACTCCAGAGCAGTCTGAATGTGTCTCTATAGCTCAGGACAATCTTTAGCAGGAACTGCACATACCCCTGGCATGTATTCCACAAAGATAGACAGCTTCCTCTCCTCAGGGTCCCGCAAGCACCCGTAGTACTGCACTATCCTGTCGTGCCGGAGAGTCTTCAACAGCTGAATCTCACATTCTAAGGCATTTACCTCCTGCAACAAAACAGACACGCTCCATGAGCACAGCGAATGCTTACACATACCTCACCCGAACAGAATTATTACCCTAATATTGTACAATGCTAAACACTTTTTACAGCACTTGTGAAGCAGCCCACTAGGACATCAGCCGCCTAAGGCTCAGAAATGAAGGGTGCTCCCTGAGGAACTGATAAGGAGAGGGACAGATGGCATACACAAACGCTTGCCTTTGAGACAAATTTACTTATTTAGTTATGCTCAAGGTAATTTCGTGGAAAGGTGTAAAAGAGGTGTGAATGAAGCACCAACAAAGCTAACACAGCTCCCAGAGCCAAGAGCAGGAGGAAGGCGCACGCAGCAAGAATGGTAACACTAAGGAAGAGCAGACAGACCTGCAAGGGACGAGATCTGAGACACAGAGTGGGCTAACGCAACCAAGGGACTGGGAGGGGATGTAAAGAAACCACCAGAGCATGCTGATCGGCGTCAGCCTGTCAGTCACGAGCAATCACAAGCCACTGGGGACCGCTCCACATTGAGGGGGCAAACACAGGGTCTCCCATACACTGCCTTCTTGCAGGGACATGTCCTTTTCAGCCTCCTTACACCCCACAATGCGCTACAGAGGCAGTCCTGCCCTCAAACTCACTTTACTCGTCTCTTGACTGTCGGGGTCAAAAGGCACCTGCTTCACTGACAGCTCGCGGCCAGTGTCAGCATCGTAGCAGAGATAAACTTCCCCAAAAGCTCCTCTTCCAAGCAGCTTCCCCAGCCTCCAATTCACAGGCGCCTGTAGAGCTACAGGAGAGATGAGAGAGTTGAGAAAAGAGTGCAGCGTGGAGACGTCAGGAACTGTGTGACCTTACAGAGCACAGATGACAGCTGCAGTGATATCACCTCTTTAGAGTCTTTCCTCCAGAAACTGCTTTAAGAGGTAATGCTGAACCTCTTCTCTCCCCAGCTATAGGGGTGGTTAGCAGGATGCAGTATAGCTGAGCAGCAACCCAGGCAGGGAACAGCACTAGGTTGCAGTCCATCACCCAACTGGCCAGAATGCACCCATTTCTATAGCGTGCGCAGTCTTGCAATATCAGAGTAGGCCACAACACCATCCTTGGGGTCTGGGGTGACAGCAGTATAGGACAAAGAACAAGGATATGATTTGTTCCTGCATCTGAGGGCTCCTGGAAGCTTCCACTGTGTGAGCACATTGAGAACTCAATGTGCAAGCAATTTGCTGAAGCTCAACACATTATAAATACCAGCTGAGCCCATACCTACTCTTAACTCAAGGCCAAGGTAAGGTAGTGTGCTATAGTAAACCTTCCTCACTGAAATGTAGGCGAGTGTAGTCGCCTTCTTGCTGGGGACAGAATCGGAGTGCATTCACAGACTTTTGCCATGGTGCAGCTTCTGCTTAGTAACTCAGTATTTCATGGTAACTCGATTTTGTGTTGAGGTCCAGACGTACTGAGACCTCGGACAGCAGCGTGCTTTGATTCACTTACAGTTCCTAGCTTTAGTAGGAGAAGTGCTGAAGACCTGCAGACCTTTTTCACAATTATTCCACCATTTGGGTCTGTACTCGTCGTACTGCAAGGTGCTGAGTTTGCTGTCCCCATTAAAGCTTTTGGTTCGGCTAGAAGGGACAAGCTGAAACAGGTTCTCCTGTGGGAAAAGCTTTGAAGTCTGTATGTCCATGTACAGCTACACATTTAAGCAAGAACCGGCTTTACTTTTGCTGTGTATTAGTAAAATCTGCCTATTGCCACCTTCTCACATGCCTGCCCGGATGCACTGATGCACCCCTACAAATTAAATAGGACAAGTTTAATGAAACTGAAGGAAAACCCTGTGAACATTTTAAATTCAATTTAAGAGCCGTTAACAGCAGGCAAGATTACATTTAATGCAGAATGTTTCCAGAGGGGTTTGCAACAGCTCAATTAAATTAGGTTTTTTGTTTGTTTTTAGTCGCAATTAAACTCTGAACAGATAGGGATTTACACCGCAAATTATCCCTGGCATCCCCTAAGACCGCAACACAAATGACCGCACAAGCAGTGCCAGATCACACGATAACTACTTGCACAAGGATGTGTCTGCGAGAGATGAAATTCATTCTGGAAGGCTCAATATGCTGTTTGCATGCCCTCAGTACTTTTTTTTTTTTTTCCAAGGGAATTTGATCCTTATTCAGTTTTGCTTCCCACCACTTGCAGTACTGCACAGTGAAAGAAGCTAGCAGCAGTGAGCTGATGGAGCGGAGCGGTCCCCTGAAGCTCAGAGCTCATCAGCTTAAAACAGAGACAGAGACAATGTGAACAGACATCAGTACTCTGATTTGCCAGGGGACTTCCAATAACTCTGCGAGAAGCCTGCTGTAAAGGACAAACCAGCATCCTCAAAAGCAAGTGACAGGGGAGAGAGAAGGCTGACTGCCAAAGGAGGGCAGTCCATGATGCTGCCAAGGATGAGAAAGAGCAGACCTTCAAGGTCTCCTAGAAGATACAGAATAGACAAGCAAATCCCATATGACTTGGTTCTTAACCCTTTATTGGAAACACCTCCTTCCCAAGTCTCTCCGGTCCCAGGCACCGTTGCAAGTCGACCCCACGCCACAATCCTGGTATCACACCTCCCTCCCCAACCCTCCATCATTTTCTTACCATCGCTGTAGTCCTTGCGACTTTGGGAGAGGTGGTATTGCCGAGGGAAGGTCCCGCCTTTCCCAAACCTCTCACAGAACGGGATGTCGAAATCTGACAGGAGGGGAGATGCGTTTCTTAGATCAGCTCAGTACTGAATGCCCAGAGTGTTTCTTATGGGAAAGCGTAATTCAGGCTGAATTACAGGGAAGAACAAGGTAACAAACTGTTTGTTTGAACAGCAAGGCATTTGCCAAAGCTCGCTCTGAAATCTGTCTGCAGTCACCCGTTGCTAGCGGAAAATAAGGGCCAGATGCTCTAACCTTGGTCCCCCTAAAGCCAACAGAGTTTTAACCACTGGCATTACGGACTCTGGCCCACAGCAAGGTAGGGGATTAGCACAGGTCATGTCTGGTTTCCATGACTGAGTACTGAACATTTTATTTCCGTGTGGAAATACAAAATTAGTGTAGAAACAGAACTGCCAGGCAGAGGCAAAATCTCTGCTCACATGGCAGCTATTTCCAAAGAAAGGCTAAAATCCAACGCGTGGCTGACATGGGACAATCCCTCCCCTCCTTTGCAAGTGTGATTCCTGATCTCTGAAAGCTGGAGACCGATTTAAACCCCTAGCACCCCAAACTTCTACATTTATTTTGATTAACTGCTAGAAAGCTAGGTTTAAAATATATAGAAATAATTAAAGAGCATCAGAATAAGATCACACAGGAGTTTATATAAGAGAGATGGATGGATAGATAGGAGATAAATATACATTAAAAAAACCCCAACAACAACAACTAGAAGCACAGGAAGCCATCGCTGGTAGCACTGAACAACTTGAGATTAAAATATCTGTCATTTCCCCCCATCTTTCACCTCCTGTTTTTCCTCCATCCAACTCTAATGACAATCCGTTCTGAGTGTTTGTTTGTCTTAGCCTGGGGCCAGCAGCCGCTCCTTGGAGACTATTCCTGGCCTCGGCCGTGCTTCGGCATGATTTCCCCGTTACACCAGTGCACCAGAGGAGCGCATAATGGCTGAAATATGGTCAGCAAGGAAAGCAACAACGACAGGTCAAGAGGCTCATGGCGAGCCACAGGCGAGCAATGATGCCGAGTGGCGTTTTAAGGCGAAATGCCTGCCTGACCACCAGGGATGGATTAAAACTTCAGCGACCACGGTCTGACTGCAGCATCAGCTCTATAGTTCAATCCAGAAATCCTGCCTCAGGCCAGAAATGTGTTAGCATGCTACAGGCTGACTGCCATTTGTTCATTTTTAATAGCAAAAGTCATTATAATATTACAGAGTTTCCATGACTTAACCAGCTGGATGTTTATATGCGATTAAGCAACAACCTAAGAGCCTTGCGAGTTACCAATACACTTTCCTTATCAGCATGTGCTGCATTACTAGGTCTGTCTCCTATTAATGTGAATGGAGGAGGTTTGATTCCCTGGAGAGTTTGGGACTCAGGTTTTGCAACGTAGGAAGACAGGGCCCTGAAAGCGCCGCTCACAAAAGGTGATGCCACAAGGACTTTTCTCAGTGTCTTGCAGCTGCTTCCAAATAAATGCAAGAGCAAGGCCCACTCAACAGCTTCACCCAGCACAGAGCCCATCTCTGAGTTCTCAACAGCTTCGTTCACTGGCATCCACTACTTCAGGGCACTTGCTGCCAATCTGGACTGCTGTTGGTGTAAGCTGAATCCAGAATCAAGCCCTGAGGTCCTTAAGTGCTACCACTACTGCTGCAAGAGCCAACAAGGTTTAAATAAGGACCGAGAGAGGCAAGCTTGTGTCTGATGCTCTAGGTCCTTCAATTTTAGAGACTATTCATGTGTGAACACTCCAGTGCCACTTGTGAAGTGTAACCGAAGCCATGGAGCTGGTTTGTTTGCTAGTGTTTAACTACTTCTGGTGCAGTACCATCTCGCTAATAGCTTTTGTCCAGTCACTTTACTGCCTGCTTCCTGCACTTTTAAGTGAACACAAACCTCCAAGACTGCTTACCCATGCAATCGAGACCGTCCTTGGGATGGCTCTTCCTTCCAGGAACAGGGGTTTGCGTGAAGGGAGGGCTGCAAAGAGAAAGAAAAGAAAAGAGACACTTTACTACACCCGAAAGGCTATGGAATAAGTTAGGAAGTGATTACACTGAGAAAGCACCGGCTGTATAGGAAGACCACCTGGTCAATTCAGCCCACCCAGTTGAGCTCCCATCCTTCAACCTGCACGAGACTGAACGCTGTTTTTTGCAGGACAACAGCTTGCTCCTGTGACCAACGCAAACACGTTCCTATGATGCTGCAAAAAACAGTCACCAGGCTGAAACGATATAGCCAAAGACTGCGCTTTAACACCTACACACAAGACGACACAGAAGGAAGGCTGCAGATTCCTCTCTTTCCTGACCATCAAGAGCTCAACATGCAACTTTCTGTGAAAATTGTTTAGTTCCTGTGGATGTCCACACTGGGAGTCCTTCAGCCACACTTGATTCACACCAGATGCCCTTCTCTGCAACATCCTCCGCAAGCTTCTTCACCCTGGAGGGTCCTTACACCACTGGGCACACAGAGCCTCCCGGCACACCAGGAGGGAGCGAGCTCAGTGCTGCGAGCCTGGAGGTCTCTGAACCACACAGAGAGGCTGATGAAGCAGTGCATGGGGATCTCAGAGACCTAAATTTCATTCTAGCCTCTGTACGGGCCAGCAGGGCTTCTTTGCTCTGTGCCTAAGGTTCCCTCTTAATAAAATGGACTTTGCGGTAGAAATTTGCTTTGTAAAGTGCTCTGAAGTCTACTAATGTCACAGTTAACCATGACTGATTTGCTGTAGGGAAGAGAAATTTATTGTGTTAAGATCTTAACAGTGCCTAGTGTCTAGCTCTGCTCACTTGAGGCTACTATGATCTCAAGCAATTGGCAGCAAGGCCTCAGCTACATCTTTGCAAAAATAGTCATAATTACTCCTTTTCCTGCCTCTGAAGAGCACAGCCCTCTTCTTCATGCCTTTTCCAGCTCTCTAGACCCCATAACTGCACACAGCTGCCTGCTTTTTTTTTGCACGTGAATCAGCTATATGCTACCCTCTTGCAAAAATGCCTAACATTTGCCTCTTTGTTCCTAATAAAGCATTATAACCAGCCTGTGCTCCTTGTGTTGTTATTCCTAGTAAAGTCTACGCAAAACTGAGGTTGGGGCATAGAGGCTGGGAGCAAAAGGAATCCAGCTTCAATGCTTCTGTAACAATGAGCAAATGCATCACAAGAAATTATTAAAATCCACAGAAAGGAAATGGACCTTGACGCTGAGACAGATCCAAAGCGCACAGAGCTGCAAACCCAAAGCACGCCACACAACCAAATCAAGGCAGCACAGACTCGCTGGAACACAAGCTTTGGTGTTGCACAGCAAAAGCAGCAAGACAAAGAAAAACTTTGACACGGGTTAAAAGAAAAAAATTGCTTCTCAAAAGGACGCTGTGTCTCATACACAGACTACCACGCACAACAGCAAACGTACAGTCACAGCGCACGTGTGAGCTTGGACCGAACCCGCTGCACTAACTATTGAACCGCTGTCTGCTTCGGTACAACGTGTCCTAGTTACTTCCTGCCGAGAAGCTAAACTTAGTTGCTGATCGTCTGGTGTCCTTAGCGCCTCCACTGCCGTGGCTGGGACTGCTGGCAATGCCCGGGGGCTGCTGGATTTACAAGTGGTCAATGGAGGGCAGGCAGCAAACCCAGAGGAGCAGGCATGGGGGGCTAACAGAGTATTGATGCGGTGGCTGCAGAAAGCCACAGGGGTAGGAGAAGACCTGACAGATTCAGAAAGCCTGGAGACATACAGCAGAGGCTGGTCTGCAGACCCGCAAGTATGTTGTCCAGCTCAGACTGCTGCAATGCAAATCATGCTGCAGCCCTCTTCTCTGTGCTAGCATCTATTTCTCAGCACTCAAGATGAATTCATTTTGCGCAGGTGCATCTTAACCCCGGCAGGAACCTCAGGGGACACCACCACCGCCACTGCTCTCCCGCTGTGCACGAGAGACTGCCCTTCTGCTCCAAACATGGTGCCATGATCAACTCACCTGTCCACAGGTCTGTCCAGCGACTGGCAGCTCCCGGACAGGGACTCGTCAGGGCTGATGAAAGCTTCGAGCATCTGACAGCGAAAGAAAGGGGAAACGATAAAACAACATGCTATAATTCCTCAAGCTCCAGTACTAACAGTCTCTCTGCAGGGTGCAGATCGATGTGGCTCCACTGAAGCCAACTGGTTTACACTAGCCAATATGGCCCCAGCAGACACGATAGCTAATCTAACAGAAGAGTTTTCTTCCTAGAGAAAACTTTCATTAACGAAGCCCTCTCTGGATTATCATTCCTCCTTATTGTTATTTACTAGTAGGGAAACTGAGGCAAAGGTAAATAGCGCCTTGATGTTCAAAGCATGCTGAGAAATCAATGAGAGTCAAAGTGCTCCAAGTATTTGGGTGGGGGGAGAGGTCAGGACACAAATGACGTGCCCAAGGCTGACTGGATACTCTGTGCCACAGCCAGGATCACGGCCCTGGACTCCTGGCTTTCCCGAGCTGCCCTGGCACACAAGACCAGCCTTCCTCTCCGTTGATAAGCAAAGCATCATCTGGGTTTTTGGCTGGAGGAACCAACTTGGCTCTCACTAGCTCAGTGAGTCAAAAGCTGCATTTGTGTCGCTTCCTGGATGAGACATTGTACCGGCCGGGGTTATTTATAGCTGGCTAGTAACAATGGAGCTGTTGTACTGAGCGGTGAACCTACGGGCTACGCACGCATCCAGCTTGAGCGGAGCTCGCCTGGGGCCGTGCCGTGCTACAGGCGGCACCATGCTTCCTTCTGGCCACCGCCACCAGCCCCCGGCCCAGCTCCTTCGCGGGAAAGCCGAGCAGCAAGGGTTAAACAGCAGACAGAGGCACCCTCCGCCGGCTCCAGCACCCAAGCCGTTCCTCCTTCCCCGGATACGGGAACTTCGGTCTCCCTTTGCACGAGCTGTTCCTGTGCGATACCTATTTATCTGAGCGACAGAACAGCTCGCGTTGCTTTGGCGGGCTAGCCCCGTTTGGAAAGCGAGATTTTTTTCTCCGCAGTTTTTACCCCAAAGCCTGAGGCTCTGAAGTGCCCCAGCCAAGGAGGAGCGCGATCCCCGTCAGACCCTGACTCCCCACCTCTGCCAGCCATGCCTCGGCCCCGCGGGCCTTTCCCTGCAGTTAACGTAACGCTGGAACGGACTTGTCGTTCCCCAAAAGCACTGAAATGGGGGCAGAACTGGGAATCTGAGTGGGGTCCATATTCTACCTCTGCCCATTTACCAAGCTGGTCTCAGGCGGCATCCCCTAAAAGGCAGCAAGCACCAGGTTACAAGTAATTTTGGACCAGGCACATATAAAAGCTGCAGCCCAAGGACATTTTGAGGGCAAAGTCCCTACGGGGAAAAGCATGGCTATTCAATGAGGGGGGAAAAAAAAAAAAGAAATACCAACAACAAACAGTTTTCCCTGCATTCAATTTGCCAGTGTGCACATCCACCTCCAGGGAGAAGGGCAGCAGGCCACCTGCAGCGTAAGGCTGGGGAGAAGCGAGGAGAGCATCTGGGAAACGTCACCAGGAGCAGAGCTCAGCGCCCAGCGAGGGCTAACGTAGCTGGGTTAGCAGCCAGTGGACTCGCGCCGATCTACACCCTCGGGGGGTCTCATGCGGGCCCCTCCCCCTGCAGGCACACACACTTTGTCTTAGTCCTACTAAACATGTTTGGAAGTCATGCAGAAACAACAGAAAGCCAGCTTTTGGCCACGAGGAGTACGAGATACATCTGCGCTCCGACGCTGCCAAGACTCACCCGGAGTGACTTCTCATTTTATTAATAGCCGTATAATAAACCGTTAAAAACACAACTTCGCCATGGAAACGCTGGCAGGGGCTGCGCACAAGAACAGAGCTAGTGGGTGCTCTCCGAGCGTAGGAAACGCTCCCCGGGCAGGATCCTCGGGGGCCGTCGTTGCGTGAGCTGCTCTGCTTAGGGCTCCTCCACGTCCCTCCCGCAAGCGGCGGATCCCCGGCGCCGTCCTTCCAAGAGCTCTGCACTCTTGCACCCAGAGAGCCCTCCTGACTTCACACGAGCCCAGGGTACCACCTGCATCGAGACCTCTGGAGCTACAGCTTGAGCAGAGGTGCGAACGGAGCGGGAGGCTTAAGTGGTTTCCCCTCCGGTCCCTCGGTGCTCGAGACGCGCCCCCCCACCCCGAGTTGACCTGAGCAGGAGGTATTTCTCTCTGCTGTGCTTAAGAACAAGCTGCTCTTTTACTACTGAGGGCTTGAGATCTGCAAACTGTTTAATATAGGAGGAAAGGGGGAAAAAAAAAAGGGGGGGAGGGAGAGATGGACAAAACTAGGCTGCACGCAGCGCCAAGCGCTGTAACCAGAGCTCAGGCAGAAACAGAGCCCAGGGAGCAGCGAGAGAGCTGCTGACGCTCATCGCGGGGCTGTTGCAATCGCAGGCAATCGGCTGCTGGCGCACTCCCGCACGCTCCCGGGGATCC